CTCTGACTACCTACTACCACTAATTGGTTTTTCACCCCTGCAAAATCGTCCATTAACTGTCCTCTGTTGTCATATCCTTAAAAGTGACGTTTATTTTCGATCATTTACACCACTAGATATTGGTAAAAGGTATCTGACTGCCGGTCGTACTCAATTGTCCAGGTTCGATCGACCCACGTTGTTCTGTACCTGTTATTCATCCAATCCACTCACCGAGCGAGAGCAGATTAAGTGGGATACTGCGAACTCCTTTTTAACATGATTTTGACACCAAGGGTTTTTTTGATATACAACTTGAACAGATAGATTTGTAACTAATCTTTGGTAATGAGAGATGTAGCCAATTTGGAGACTAGGAAGGAACAGAAACACACACAGAGGAAACAGTCTCAAATTGCGTTTATACAATTTGCGTGCGTGTGTGTGGTGTGTGCGGGCAATATCTGTGTCTTCCTGGTTTCTCCCACTGTTTCATTTTATATACTCGTCTCATTTCATCCGATTTCTCACCTACAGTCTATTCCATTTGTTTTCTTTTCTACATAAAACATTCATTCAAATCATGGTTGAATTCAGACTATCCTCTTTGTTCTATTTCCAAATTGACTATTCATTTCGGTTCCGCGCACTGAGACTGTGTTCCATGCTCATGATCTATCATGCTCATCTGTGTTGACNGTTGACCATTGCGTTGCGCGAAACCGAAATTTAACAAAATCCGGTCCAGACACCATTCTTTCTCAGTCGGACCCGTGTAGCTCGGTCACGTGCACAACTCGAACGTGTTTGGCGCACATATCTTTGTACGCATGTGTGTATGTCCACGTGTCTGTATCACTCTCCCTGTTCTCTCGATCTCCATCCATTTCTCCAGTGTCTGTTCGCGACGGAAACTTTTGCCATGGGACTGAATATGCCTGCTCGGACTGTTCTGTTTACTTCTGCTCGTAAATTCGACGGTCAAACCTATCGATGGGTACGTCTACTATCTAAATCCGCATGTGTTTCCGTTTCTGACGCCATTTTGAGGAAAGTTGATACGTGAACGGATCAATATCGGGTCTTGGCAAACGGTCCTGGCCGTTTTGTGCACTGCGATATCAAAGGGTTGAATCGACAGTCTTTCCCGCTCTCTCTCTTTTCTTTTCTTTGTTACTTCCTGGAATATTTGCTAACTGGATCTATTCACAGTCCTGTTTGAGAACACGTTTGTATTTCACACGCGCCTGACGCCAGACTGTGCCAAACAAATCACGCAACAATAATCTCTAGAAAGAAAAAGTTTCATGATTTGCACATGGGCGCAATACCTCTAGGTTGCTCAGACCAAAGAAGGTGAGTTTTGTTGGGGAATTCACAACCGGAGCCTTTGATTTATCAGAGCCTGGCTCGCAATGTAACGGAGTGGGTTGGAAAAAACGAAATCCGTTGGGGGGGGGCGGTGTTCAGTTCATCGGATCACATACCGTTTAGACGGGATCAAACATCCAATCTGCCCAATCGAATCGGTGTCCACTGCCACAACCAGAAAGGTGTGGGTGTATCTGGTTCGTACGCCTCATCTTGTTGGTTTCGAATCAGACTTCTTAGCCAACTCCCCTGTGTAAACTGCCATTGGTTCACCAACCAAGTTACAGCCTCGGATATTGGCTTTTCGTTCTCTCATTTTGGTGGGAAGACACTCACCGCATAGGATTTCCTCATTAGAGGCCGTTTGAGACGCTTGGTCGTGTGGGATCATTTCGCGAGGTGCAATAAAATGGTGACCAGTCACACCCCGAGACACCCACTCCGACCATACTGTGCTTTTCGGAGGCTTAGCTGAAAGCACATTGTATAATTACGTCTAACAAATGAACTGCAGCGACTCCTCAAGAAATTTCATTTTTTTGCTTACTCACCGTGACGTGATTCAGCGAACCTGCTCGCTGGGGGAAAATTGTACTTTTTCCACCCACTAATTGTCCAAGCAAAACCACGGACAGTTGAAACCAAACTACCACGGATTTTGCAGCAACAAAGTACTCAAAGTTTGGACCAAAGTTGTTTGCCTCGCATTCAGTCCCGTTGCGTAATCCTTCAGGAGGTATCACATCCCTTAGGCGGATTGGTGTCATACCAAGTTACCCCAAAGGTGCATGCAAGTTCATGAGAGTCAAGGAACTTTCGTTTCGGCAACGCGTAATTGTCTTGCAGTCCGTAGTTTGATTAGGGTAATCTGTAGGGTGAAGATATCTGTAACCAGCGTCCTAGGACCAAGAATTATAAACTATTTTTTTAACGGAGAACACTTATGCAATATGGACAAAATCTGGTCATGGCGTATCGATTGAGCTGCATACCTCCTTGATTTGGTAATTCACTCTATATCTGCCATTCCAGTAGTATTACTTGGTCTGTTTGATAACAGTCTATTTAGAAACTCCAAAGTTATGTTCCTTGTTTCACCTAACCTGTATACAAACAAGTAGAGGCACAGTCAGTAACTGTGTTTGTTGGGTTCGTTTGCGTGTATACATGGCTCAGGTCCAGAATTGCCCTAAGCCACCTTGCGGAAGCGGTGATGGATGGATTTTCATCGCCAAGCTTTTGAAGAATGTACCATCAGTCACCGCTATTTTATCTCATAGCAGTTTACGATGGAACATATAGATTGTAAGCCGTAGTGGGTAAACAGAATTGATGTATATGTCAAGTGCAGTTCGGTTTAGTGAATGGGCATGCTTAACAATCACAATTCTGCTGTACGCGGAACTTGGATAAATACCTTACGACACATCTGTTTCTTTACTGGTTTGTGTTAGATTTTATGAAATAGAAAAAATAACAATCTCCCAAAGACAAAGCCTGAGGTTATTTTCACAAGAGTTAGGGGGAGCAGCAACCAATTTCCGGGTTTTAATAAGTCATCGATAGCCAACTCGGTGAAACGAGGAATTGTGGAACCCTGATTTCAAACCACCGCATAATGAGGTGTATGAACTGTCCCCAAGGATTACCAACCATACAGCCATGGACTC